TTTTTCTATCGTCTCTCTCTCCTCTCTTACATATATTCTCCCACTCCTCTCTTCCATTTATTTTCTCGCTTCTCTCTCCTTCTCTTTTTCACTTCCTTCTTAATCTACTTCTCTCGCTTCGCATTTTCTATTGACTTCTCCTCCATCTATTTTATTCTCTCTCCTCCTCTCTCCATCTATTTCCTCACTCCTCTCATTTCTCACTCATCTATTTCCTCATCTCCTCCTCTCTCCATCTATTTTCCATCTATTTCGTCTCTCTTCTCCACTCCCCTTCTTCCTCTCTCCATCTATTTTCTTCACTCCTCCCCTCCTCTCCCCATATTTCTTTCCCTCCCCTTCTTCTTCTCTCTCTCCATCTATTTCTTCCCCCTCCTCCCTCCTCTCCATCCATTTTCTCGGAGTCGTGAGCCCGAATTTCATTATGACGTCATCACATGCCGTCATCAGGACATGCGGGTCGTCGGTCATTGTGTTGCAATCGACCGTAATTGGACTCCTGTTTATCTTGCAACAGACTCTATAACATCCGCTTTTCATTTTCCTCATTTATATGAAGACGAAGGTAAAATTGCATCTTCATAGGTTCATACTAATGACATTGATGATGATTATTGTAATGACAATGACAATGATTTAACCATTTTTAGTATACAATGTACAGTGCACAAACATGTAAAAAAAAAAAATAATAATAAAAAAACAAATAGTGTACTGCCGCATATGTATACAAGTGTATATACCTTCAAAAGGTTCTATGTAACAAAATGTAATATCCTTATAATATGTAGGCGAATTACAGCAACATTGTTCCCTGTATACCTGGGAGTCACCGCTGATAAGATTTTAAGATAACGCTGATTTTGGTGATAACAGCGACAGCGATGTTTGCTTGTTCTGATACGGAGGGAGAGAGGGAGGGAGGGAGGGAAGGGAGGAGGAGGAGGGAAGGAGGGAGGGAGGGAGGGAGGGAGAGAGGGAGGGAGGAGAGAGGAGGAGGGAGGGGAGGAGGGAGAGAGAGAGAGAGGAGAGAGGAGAGAGAGAGAGAGAGAGAGAGAGAGAGAGAGAGAGAGAGAGAGAGAGAGAGAAGAGAGAGAGAGAAGAGAGATGAGAGAGAGAGAGAGAGATAGAAAGAAAAGAGAAGAAAAACGAGAAAGGAAAAAAAGAAGAGTTTTGAAAATAAGGAAATAATTGGAGAAATGACAAAAAAAAACAACAGGGGAATTCCAACATAGGATACTGGAGAGGTAATTACTTGTGCTTACAAAAAAAGGGAAAATTCATACAAGGAAAAGTCCCCAAAAGACATCCAGGAAGTCGAGTGGGGAAACAGACCATACGTCATTCAACGTCATAACACCAAATATTCATTAAAATTAATTAAAATCATGAATCAAATGGATGGTAAAATCATACGAAATTATTGAATAAGTAACAAGCAGTACATACTTTGGAATTTGATAATATGGTTGTTACATTACAATAGATTTTCCAATTACTATATTTTTAAGTTGATTTCAAATAAAATACCTTTTCATAAACTCTTATAAACCAATAATGATGTTGATGATCGGGAACAATTTGTTAAATGAGGAAGTAATTAACAGATAATCAATAGCGTTTCCTTTTCGAAATTTAAACGTATATTCTGCTCTCGTACTGACACATCCATTGTTCATCATCGAATCATGTTAAGAAATAAAATTAATATAACAGTATGATGTGCATGATATCAAATTCTTTGGATAGGTTCCAATAATAATAACTCTTCTAATGCTTATATTGAGGCAATAATGCCAAATAAACCCAACGAATTATACACACACACATACACATATATGCACACACATACACACACACACACACACACACACACACACACACACACATATATATATATATATATATATATATATATATATATATATATATATATATACTATATATATATATATATGGTGTGTTGTGTGTGTGTGTGTGTGTGTGTGTGTGTGTGTGTGTGTGTGTGGTGTGTGTGTGTGTGTATAATAAATAACGATAAAACAAAAGGCACAATGAAGTATAATCATGTTTCTCTTCTTTACCTCGCATTAGTTTCACAAATCACATAAAAAAATTTAGATCGTCTCGTATCTGGAACGTATTTGCTATCAGGCCTGTAAGTTGATCAAGTTGTAAGCTCATTCACGCGTCAAAACAGACCAGCTTGAACTCAGCTCCTATTACATCCTAAACCAGAGCATCCTCCAAGGAACACAGATAGAAAACGGAGTCTCACTTCTTACACAGAAAATGCAATATCACTCGGGGAAAACATATCGATATATCTTCGCTATAAATTCGACACTTTTATTTTTACTCTCACCTTGTCGCAGTTCTAACCTTGGCGAAGTTTTCTTAATCACACTATGAAGAGAATTTTCTCCCGGGACATTTTAAATTTTCTCGTAATATCACAAACTTTCTAGAAATCGATTTATCACAGTCACCCCACCTCCTCGACCCAGCTCTTCCCGCCAACTGAACCTGCCCGCGCACTTACAGTCTTAAAGGTGGTATACCTTAGGATGACCCTGAGAGCCTCTTCAAGCACCTCGGGTCGTTTTATATTCGTGGTTGTTTGCGCCTGGCTGTGGCAATTTTGTGAATCGGCTCAAAAGAAATGAAATCAAATGAATGTTTTGTTTTGATGGCACGTGTATGTCTGCCAATACATTTTTTCTACTTCTGTTTGCTCGCTGCTTTTTGCCCTTCCCACTTCACGCTTCCCTCTTCACCCTCGCAAATGCTTCCCACTTACGATGATTTTGTATTTTTTTTCTTCTTCTTCTTGTTTAGTTTTATGTCTGGGTTAACTATCGTTATTCACATCATCCAAAATTGACAAAAATATCCCCGAGTTCCTTGTGTGAAAACTTCAAAGATCGTAGTAAAATTACACAACCACCATCATTTCTCAAAACTATTCCACTCCCCAATTTCTGTCCCGGCCGTGCATTAGCCATTCGTCCATTACACATTGCACATCCGCCTGTGTGTGTGTTAAGATTTCCCTTTACAACACACAACCACCAATTACGCAAAAAACACAACCACTGCCCGACACTCGCCAACGATCAAATCAACTACGAATCCTTGTTGGTCAATTGCAGAAAGTAGCTCCGCCATCGCACGTGTTCATTCAAGTATAATAGAGAAGTTCGGATGAGTCATCCTTCCCCCAAGAAGCGATAGAGGCGTTTCTCCGGCATAACGCTGTCCGGGACGATGACGTCATGCGAATCCGACAATCGCTGTTCTTTTGTTTTTCTTTTTTTCGGTATGAATGAACAGATGAATTCGACAAGCGCTGTTCTTTTGTTTTTCTTTTTTTCGGTATGAATGAACAGATGAATACGCGAGACTAAAATCCGTAAAAAAAGGACACCTTAAAATATAATGCATAAAAGGAACACAAATATGATGGTATATTAATGCGTTCTGTGACCTGAGCAATCGCTTATTAACGAATCATTATAAGGTTGATTCATCACCTTACTCGAAGAAGATTTTTGACCTTAACGTTTTTCTTTATATTCTCCTTTCCCCGTCTATTGTTTGTTGCAATTATTCTCAGATAAGAACTATAAAGACAAAATAAGATAAAGAGACGGAGAGGCAAAAATCAAATCACAGCACTTAACAAGCAATCGCACCCATTAACTCTGTTAGCAAACATTCTCAAGAGCTTAACTCGACTCCTTGGCCAACACTCCTTATCGTTCGCTTACTCCACACTTATCTGACGTTACCTTTAGCACGACGACTGTTCCCATGTTCCCTTTTCCTTTTAGCGTATCTTCTATCTACCTTTTTTTACTTAAGGGTCCAATTTGCATCAGTGCAGCCCTTTCCCTCATTATCCTCTGACTTTTACCTTTCTCTCCTCCACCCCCTCCTTACTATCTCCCTCCCCCTATCAGCCACTTCCTACTCTCTCCCTATATTCTCAGGCCCTACTTCTGGCACCCCCTCCCTCCCCCTTTCTTTTTGGCACCCCTTCCCCTACACCCACCCCAGACGGTAGCCGCTCCTACTTCCCTACCTCTCTATCCCTCCTTGGACCCCCTAGTAACACCCTCCCCTCCCCCCTCTCTATCACCTTAGACCTTCGTGGTAGCAGCCCCCATCCCGTCCCCATGCCCTCCCTCACCCCATAGATATCCCCCCTATTCCTCCCGTCCCTCCTGGCACCCCCACCCCACTGTTCCTCCTTCAACATACCCCCTCCCTCACCCCATAGACATCCTCTGTTCTTCCCCCTCCTGGCACCTCACCCCCACTTGTCCTCCCCTGCCCCTCCTCTGTCCCCACGGATCAACACCTCCACCCCCCCCCCCCACTGCTACGGATCCAACACCCCCCCCCCTCCCCAGGCCTCCCGGCGGCACCCACGACCTCTGATCCCGAGTGCCGGCTGACACGACCGCCTCCCCACCCGACGCCGCATGTAGAGCGCATGTACTTTTCGGAATGTACCGTTACACTCTCTTCTCCCTCGACGTCCGTGTCCGTTGATGGAGATCCGGCCCCGGGACTCTCGCAACGGCCTCTCCTGTATCCGATTCAGAGCCTCCTACGCCACACGCAGCCCCGTAACAGCCTCGAAACACGTGAGGAGATTCTATATCGGGAGCCGCGCAATCGAAAACCTGGCAACCGTACGTACCTGACATCACCGTCCGGGCACTCTGCATGACAGCCGCGCCTTCATGACCCGCCAATCAAAGAGGACAGAATGGAGTCATAATAATCATGACGGGAGAGGAGTGAAGAGAGAGAAAAAAAGCAATGAAAATAGACCTTGTAATTACCGTAGGCTGGCGCTGACACACTTCCCTCTGTCACCTTGGAGAAGCAACTGGCGCCTTTCCTTATGAATTCCGAGGCGGTTCGCGACGGCCCCGTTATCAGCGGCCAGGGGCGCCCTGATTGGTTATTTGCCGGCGCCCACCGCGGGTATCTTATCGTTATCGCCCTTGCTTATCAGCGGCTCACACAAGGATGTTGTTACTCATCGACAAATGACACAACATGATGTGGATTGTTTCCTGCAAACATCATGATTCCCTTTACACACACACACTCATACACACATACATACACACACACACACACACACACACACACTGACACACGACATACATACGCACACACACGCACACACTCACACACAACACACACACACACACACCACACTCACACACACACACAAACACTCACACACACACACACTTAAACACTCACAACACACACACACACACTCACACCACTTAAACACTCACACACACACACACACACACACACACACAACACACACACACACCACACACACACACTGACACACTTACACCCACATGCATATACATACATATACATACACACACAGTTGTGTGTGTATGCATATGTAGGCTACACACATCCTGAAGGTGAGAAACACGAAAACCGGAAGAGTACGAACGTAAAAGCATGATAAAGAAGGAAGTTGTGCGAGCCAATAAAGATAGCGAGGCAGGAGGAAGAGCGAAAGAAGGAAAATTACAGAGAGAGGCGAAAAGATTGATGTATAGATAGAGGGAGAGAGAAGAAGATATATATATATATATATATATATATATATATATATATATATATACCTATATATATGTACATATATACATATGTATACATTTAGATAGATAGAGAGAGAGAAGGAGAGAAAGAAAGAGAGAGAAGACATAGAAACGAGAAAGAACGAGAAAAGAAAGAAAGAAAGAAAGACGAAAACAAAAACAAGCACATTTTACGACGCGTCAATAAAAAAAAAGAGAAAAGAAAAAGACCGACATGAAAAAAGATGAAGGACAAAAAATAACAAGAACCAAACAAGACTTCGCATTAATGAGGGCGTAGTCATCCCGCCCACGCCCACCACGGACTCACTGCCACAACCAATCCCCGCCCACTTTCCCTGGCGATTCGTCACGTGGTCCTAATTGTGTGTCTGTCTGTTTCTCTTTATTCCCTTTCCTCTTAAGGATTAGCGTAGGAGCCTTTAAGCGAGCAGGGAGGGAGGAAGAGAGAGAGAGAGAGGAGGACGGAGGGAAGAAGGGAGAAGAGAAAAGAAGGGAATAGATACAAAAAAAAAGAGAAATTAAAAAACAATATATCTCTTGTAGAAAAAAGAAAAGAAATCAGGAAAACACAAAACAAAGAAGGAGAGAAGGAAAATAGAACAAAAAAGGTGTAAAGATGATCATAAAACACACCTTAAGGAAAAGCAAAGGTTGTAAATTATTTCATCAAGTTTACACATAAAATAGCTGTCGGGCCCAGCTGTTTTGAGCGCCGGGGAGGGGGGGGGGGGAGGAAGGAAGGAAGGAAAGGAGGGAGGGGGGGGAGATTGGGAAGAAAGGGGGAGTGGTAGAAAGAAAGAGAGAGGGGGGGGGACGGAAGGGAAGACAAGGAGAAAAGGGAAAGGAATGAATGGTAGAAAGAGAGAGAGAGAGAGAGAGAGAGAGAGAGAGAGAGAGAGAGAGAGAGAGAGAGAGAGAGAGAGAGAGAGAGAGAGAGAGAGAGAGAGAGAGAGAGAGAGAGGAAGGAGAGAGGGAAAGAGAAGGGAGGATTGAAAAGCAAACAGAGGGAGGAGGAAAAGCGAAAAGAGAAATGGAAAATAACAGAAAAGAAGAGAGAAAAAGAATTGGAGAAGAGGCGAGAGAGAAGAAAAGGACATGGAAGGAGAGAAGAGAGAAACGGAAGAAAGAGCGAAGGAAGGGAAGAGAAAAAGGAGAGAGGAGGGAGAGGAGAGAGAGGAGGGAGAGAGAGAGGAGGAGGAGGAGAGAGAAAGGAGGAGAAGGAGAGGAGGGAGAAGAGAGAGAGAGAGAGAGGAGGGAGAGGAGAGAGAGGAGGGAGAGAGAGAGGAGGAGGGAGAGAGAGAGAGAGGGAGAGGAGAGGAGGAGGAGGAGGGGAGAGGAGAGGAGGAGGGAGAGGAGAGAGAGGAGGGACAGGAGGGAAAGGAGGAGGGAGAGGAGGAGAGAGAGAGAGAAGAGGGAGAGGAGAGAGAGGAGGAAGAGGAGAGAGAGGAGGGAAGGAGGGGAGAAGGAGAGAGGAGGGAGAGGAGGAGAGAAGAGAGAGAGGAGGGAGAGCCGCAAGGATTTAGTCCCTGTCACGCCTGCGGTAGGATAAAGAAGCCTTCACTTCCCGTGTTGCAAGAGTTGAAGAATAAAAAAGAAACAAAGAAAAAAAGAAACAATGTTGACTGATTCGGACGATGAGTGCGCTCTTAAGCAAAATTACAGTCAGCAAAAAAAAAACCTTCACCTTGGATTGGCGAGCGAATATATAGGCCAAAGTTGATTCATGATGAAAGAGGAAAAGAACAATAGAGAAGAAAAAACACAAACACATACAGATATAAATGTATATGTTTATATATATATATATATATATATATATATATATTATATATATATATATTTATAT